GTTTTGCTGAATGTGCTACAACTGGTATTTGTGTGATGTTGTTTTGAACCGTATTAACTTTAAATTCTGACTGTGTCGCTTAAATTGATTAGAAGAATTAATTTCTACTATGTAGACAGTAGCATTCTAAGATGACACGGCACAGCGCTCAGGACCAGGCGTGCAACTCCACGCCTCTTCTCTCTCAAGTTCAACGTCAGCCTTGCGAGCTTCACCTCCAGCCTGCGAGGTTTACCTTGTCAAGTGTCTCCTCAGTGGTCTGGCTGAGTTCTCTGCCTCAAAGAAAGTTTTGAAGAATTAAATGGATACTGTTCATGAAAGGTTTGAATTGTCATCAGTAAAACAGCTTAGTCCCAGGAATGCCTGATTAGCTGCATTTTGCTGCTCTTTTTCTCTGCTACATTTTCCGCAACTGATAGGGCCCTACTATCGGTGCTCTCTATATGTGTCTTATTTATTATTGTGTTAGGAGATCTCACAGCATCTAAAGGCATCTGTGCAATGACACTTGAAGCTCTTCCGCTTTGTTTGACCTTTCCAAAAAACGTATGTGATTGGGACTGACCGTGTAGCTTGGTGGCAGAGTGCTTGTCTGCTGTCCACAAGGTTCTGGGTTTGATTCCTAGTGTGCTTGTACACACACACACACACACACACACATACACACATTCTCCTCTTAAATGCTTTAAATTTGTCTCTTCATTTACCTCAAATTCAAATCATTCTACCATTTTTATACTGAAAATTAAGTATTTTTATAAATTCATATTTTGGATATTGTTTTGTACCATTTATGTATTTATGTATAGTAAAATTTTCATCAGTTTTAATATTTGTAAGATTCTAATATGAATTGTTAAAGTAAAAGATATACAAAACTGTTATTTTTCTGGTTTTTTGTGGGTTTTTTGGCGGACCTGGGGATTGAACTCAGGCCCTTGCGCTTGCCAGGGAAGCGCTTATTCCACTGAGCCATCTCACTGGCCCCCCATTCTTCTGTTTTAAAGGTTCATGTTCAAGTTCTTTTTTTCACTCTACATTTTGCATAATTAATGAAATACATTAAACATTTTTTAAAAAGACTTGGGATATTGTCAGTGTTGAGCAGTGTGCTCAAAGTGAGAAACTTCAGTGCTGAAGTGGGGTGCTGGTTCCTGTCTTCTGAGGCCATGCATGAAACAGTGTCACCAGTGGGGATCTTCTTAAGTATTCATGCTCTGAGGCCTTTCCCCAGACCTGCTAAACAGGGTGTGCATTTAGCTGGACTTACAGGTACATAAATTTAAGGAGAAGTAGTAAAAACCCAGGGAACTATAGTGCTAATTTAAAAGCAAGAAAGATCTTACAAAAAAAATCATCCTTCTTTCCCCTATTATGATAGATTAGAGGGGGGAAAAACATAAATTAAGACCAGACCACGTCTTTCTGGGTTTGATACCTATAAAAAATGTAAATAACCGAATTCACAAGTACACCAGACACTTGGCCAGTGAGATAGCTCAGTAGACAAAGCACCTGCTTAGGCAAGCTCAGGGACCAGGGTTTGTTCCC